GTAGCTTTGCGCGAAATTCCAAAACAAACAAACAAATACGGTGGTCCTACTCTTTACAAACGTTATATTTATGACATTGTTGGTGCAACCAGCACATCCCTTTTTTACACTTCGTTTCCTCCTTCCATCCAGCGCTTACCTTCACATGAACAGTTTCCTCAAAGAGTTTACACTTTTTAAACATTCTCTTCTCCACTGAACATTTATCGACTTCAGTACACTACAAACCCATTGATTCCCATTCTTATCTCCGCTACGACTCTTCCCATCCCCGTCATACGTTTCAGTCTCTTCCATATTCACAAAGACTGCGCAGACTCTGCAGTGAACAAATTGATTACGAGTCGAAATATGAAGATATGAAATATTTTTTTATCAGTCGTTTCCACCCCAAGTCTTTATTAGAAAAATCCGCCCAACACACCCATTCTGTAACTCGACAATACACCCTAACACCTAAATCCAAGTCTACAAACTTTCGAGCACCACTTATCTTTACTTACCATCCCAATACCTCTAAAGTTGCCCAAATCATCAAACAAAACTTCAACATCCTTACTGACGACCCCATAACTTCCAAAAATTTTAAAGAACACAGTTACAAACACGATAAAAATATAAAGAATATTTTAGTCCACAGTGTCATCCAGAAATCTAACCCTAGTGTGAACCCGGTACAGCCTGTTCTCACAGACAGGAATACGTCACCTGCCAATATGTTAACACCACAACATCCATATTTGGCCCTAATTGGAAATTTCAAATACGACAATCATTCACTTGCATTTCAACAAGCCTGATATGCTGTGTATGTTATAAAAAGTGCAACATGCTATAAGTTGGTCAAACGGGTCGCCGCTTAGGGGATCGATCATTCACGTGAACATCTTTCTTATATAATAAATAATGACATTACAAACTCCACATGGTAGAAACTTTAATAACCCTTCACATTGCATGTCCAACTTCTCCGTACATGGACTCACATTTGCTCCACCCACTCTAACTCAAAGAGAACGCCTGGAAAAACGTTTGATTTTTAGATTAGGCACTGTTAATCCCTCTGGATTGAATGAAGAGTTATCTTTCCTTTAACATTATCTTTTTCATTTCCTCGCCCTATACTTTTTTTATACCTTCACACACTGACATTTATTGGATACAACATGTTCGTTCAATGTTCGCAATCTTTTTCCTCTCTAGCCTGTTCGCTTCAGTCACCTGCTTTATATTTCTTTCTTTTCACCGACGCTCTTCACGTCTGTTCAGTTCACATACCTTTTACTGTTGTACCCCTTTGAACAATATTACCCGATACACATTTTCTTACATTGTTGCCTGTCTTTTTGTTCTACGTTTCCTTTTTTGTTGTATATTTACTGCGATTAACTTTATTTATACAATTTTTATACTTTTATTGTTATTATTTAATATGTTACTTCCCTTACCTCATTTGTAGCTTCAGGAACATGTTCTCGAGCCTTCGAGCCACGTGTTATTTGTTCTTTCAACCTAACCCTTATATTAACAGTTCCATTGCCACTAGTAACCTGATGAAGGATTGTTGCCCGAAACGTTGTTTTATTAATAAAGTTATTTTATTTTGGCGAGTTTTTACCACTACTTTATATTCTATTTTGCATTTTGTTTTAATTAAAAAGTTTTTGTTTTCTTCCTATCAAGATTCTCTTCAAGGAATTTTTCCGTGAGTCTTATTTATCGTCATTGGTGACGTATAAAGAGTTGATTATTATTTCACAAAGTAATTCTAATAGTAAAGTTTCTTCTAAACTGCCAAAATTTGGGGCCTGTAAGAGTGAAAAAGGAGTAGAGTCAGAAACTGACCAAATACTTCAAACTCAACATGTCATCTTACACGTTTACGTTTATTTTTGCTTTTAGTTTATTTCTTCTGTTGCTGCCATCTAGTGTGAAAAATCCTAAAAGTGTTTATAAAAAAACAACATGAACTTGTGAAGTAATGACAGTTAGAATATTTGTTTTCTTTTATAAACATCCACGGAAATAGTGAGTTGAAAAACTTCAGTCTTAAGTATCACAAGTAAAGGTTTATAATTAAAGTTTCGCTGAAAGGGACTATTTCTGTGGTTATGACATAAAAGAAATAAAACGATAATTACATATATATATATAATATTTTTCGATAAGCTGTATTTTCAACAATGATAGGAAACTCATTTTTAGAAGTCAGCTATTGTTATTATTAGCTCCTTATTTCAATTTCTTAGCTTAAATGTATTACTATAAAAAATTAAATTCGGGGTTTTCTGACAGCAGTGCCTTAAATAACTACATATTTTCAGAAAATCGATTACAACTTTTCTTCTTTAAGACACCACTTAAAGCATAATGTACTGAAAATGTAGTCTTCTCCCGGCTTTCTTATAACAGAGATACATCATGTATCCATAAACAGTTTTGGCTCAAATTCTACGTAACGTTAAAGTTTACAACCTATTTTTATCCCACGCGATCCCCCATTTATCCCTAAGGGAATGAGCGGGGATTTCGATGGCCTAGGTATGTAATTTGCATCCGTGTGCGCATCACGATGATCTATGTGTTTCCTTGTGCGCATTTCAATTGGCTATGTGTAAGCGTGTGCGCACCTCGATGATCTATGTGTATCCAAGTGACCATTTTCATGGCTTACGTACACATTTCAAAACATTAGTTTTAGCTAAACGTTTTAAAAGAACGATAGCAGCAATAACTCGATGTACTTTGATGGCTTTACAATAAAACATAGGGTCCCGAGAAGTATATAGAAGCTGTAAGTAGAAGTTAACTTCTTTGAATCTTGCCATAATTTGGATAAACTGGAAATGTTGATGATATTTAAAAGACATTTGAAGCTATATAATTTTTTTTTTGAGGCAATTAACTATACGACGACTACTTCACTAATATTGGTATTAATTAAAACATCATATACTGAATGTAAACCGAATAATTTGTTTTCATTCGTTTGTTTGTAGTTAAACACAAAGCTAAACAAACAATGGGCTATCTGTGCTGTGCCAACCACAGGTATCGAAACCCGATTTATACCGTTATAAGTATCACTGGTGGCTATTGTTTTTTGTTTTTTTTAATAAACAGCTTTTACAGAAACTGTGGAAGTACAAATTATTAATGCAGAGTATGTGAGATAATTAATTCTCTTTTGCTTGTTTGTTTAGCTAGCTACGCACAAACGTCATTAATTTTGAACTAATAGACTAGAGGAAAGGCAACTAGTCAACAGCACCCGCCGCCAACTCTTGGGCCACATTGTTTCATCGAAAAGTGGGATTTGGCTGTCATTCTCTTATATGGAGCGTGTTTTTGCGCAAGCTGGCGCGAAGTGTGAATCTTCGAATTCACAGTCTGGGCACGCTAGCCCAAGGCCACGCCCGGTCCATCTCTGTTCCAGAGACATATATGAGAAGGAATTAGTCAGGATAATCACTGTAAAATAATACATTAAACCTATGTTAAGTATAAATAAATACTTGAACTTTTAAGTTTTTGTTCTCTTAACAAAATTTAGGCCCGGCATGGCCAGGTGGTCAGGGCGCTCGACTCCCAGTCTGAGGGTCTCGGGTTCGAATCCCCGTCCCACCAAACATGCTCGCCCTTTCAGCCGTGGGGGGTGTTATAATGTGACGGTCAATCCCACTATTCGTTGGTAAAAGAGTTGGCGGTGGGTAGTGATGACTAGCTGCCTTCCCTCTAGTCTTAAACTGCTAAATTAGGGACGGCTAGCACAGATAGCCCTCGTGTAGCTTTGCGCGAAATTCAAAAAACAAACGAACTTTACAAAATTTATAATAACATGCCACTTTACAACATTTCTACTGAAGAAAAGAGCGCTATTAAACTGTTTATTCATCATATCCTGGATAAAATAAAACGAATACAAATTTGACACTTTGTTGTTGTTATTATTATTTTTAATTATGTTTTGTTTGTTGTTAAGTTCAAAACCACACAATGTGCTATCTGAGCTCTGCCCACCGCGGAATAAAAAACCGATTATTTTTTTTAGCATTGTAAGTCCTCAGACTTACCGCTGAGCCACCAGGGGGCTTTTATTTATTAAAAATTTTAGTACGAAATTTAAACAGTTTTGCTATTGAAATAAAATGGTGGCATTTACATGGATGAAGAATAGAATTGTGGGATTATTTTCCCGCAAAATAAAGAATGAAGTACAAATATTTCTAATTTCGTTAAATATGTGAATATGATCGATTCTACAATTTTAAACACGAAGTTAATAAGACTTTCTTTTGTTTAAAAAAAAAGGGCAATTCCTTGATCCAGTTTTTGGATTTCCGCTGTTTATTCGCAGAGACTACTTACCTCATCACACCATAATGAATGTGTGTTTGGTTACTTCGTACTCTGTGCGTTACTGAAACCCACAACTGTTATCATTTCCGCAACTTGACGTTTCCGGTCGTCATTTTTCTTCTAATCGATCGTCGTGACAATGGGCAACATGCCAAGTTGGGCCTAAACCCAACTGTCAGAGTTCTTTTAGGTTCTGATTGAAAACTAACCATCCAAAGACACCAATTCACGCAACGTTGGACTTTTATGTCCACTTGTTGAGAACTAATTGTGAACAGTCCTCTCCTCTCCATTATCAGATCATTCATGTCAAGATTTACTCTTACAGAACACCAAGTTATTCCACTTGTGCTTAAACTGTCCACCTGGCGAGGCATCTGTCTTCCCCTTTTTTTCTTACCCTACTGATGGTTGCTAGGCTGCAGCTGGACCGCACCCCGCAGTGGCAGAGACCGCGGAGGAAGCTCGCGCATGTGCACTACGCAGACTCAGAACTGATGTTGGTGGTTACATCAGAGAACAGAGAGGCTGACGCCAGTCGCTCCTGGCCGATATCCGCGAGTCTTGCGTGCGAACTGGCTTTTCCATCTTTTTCTCCTTCTCTCATTTTTTGTAACATAATTTCTGAATCATTTTAATTTGTCTTCAGTAAGCGTGCAGTGGGTTCGATTTTTTTAAAGTAGAAAGTTTTTTGTTTGTTTTTGTTTTACAACATGGCATTAAATTGCTGAATTATCCAGCTAAGAATGAAGCGGTCAGAGGGTGCTGATGGAAAAAGCTACTTTTTAGCGGGTCCGGAGAGGGTGAGCGAGCAGGGGCGACTCGGGCCAGCGACGGTTAAGTCAGCTTGTCATGAGGCCCCTGCTAGCTTCCTGCTCCTGCTTCATTTTTAATCAAATGAAATATGACATTAGAGCATAACGATGGGAGCCGCACGCCTTCATTAGAAAAGCCATACCGAAAAGTGTTACAGAGATGGCGGCTGTGCTCGGCCTCTCTCCTCTTCTTCACTGTTGTGCTACTGGACAACTTTGTGGCCTGTCTAAGTGTTAGAGATTTGACTGTATATTCTGCGCGTTTCCGTAATCCCTGGATGCCAGACAGTTTCGGTTCTAATATAAGCCCTACCTGTCGTGTGTCGCAGGGCCTAAGTCAACCCCAGTGCCTTTCCCTGGCGTACCTGTGCGCCCTGTCACCGGGCAGGGAGCGGGAGAAGCATTTGCTAAACCAACGCCCTTGCTTTTGCTCCCACTACCTCTTGACATCAGTGCTCGGACCACGGGGAATAAAAGGTTCACCAGAAGATTGTCGGACCGCTCTGACTTCAGTGATTAACCTCGACACCATGGCTCAGCAAGTCACGTGTGAGTTTGAAGCATTACTTGCCCGATACGATTGTAGAGGGCAGTATTCGGTCCGGTTTTCCTGTCAAGAGTGTGAGGTAAGCTACAAAATAGACAGATATGAAAAGTTAGGATCGCTATTCTTAAAAAAAATAATAAATTATGGATACGAATTGTTAGTAAGGTTAAAATAATAAAAGTACGAGTCCTTTATTAAAGTCACTGATCAGTCAATAATGCAAGTTGAATGAACCTTTATATGCACAGAAATGTAGAATTGATTTTGAATTTCGCGCAAAGCTACACGAGGGCTATCTGCGCTAGCCGTCCCTATTTTACCCACTACCAACTCTTGGGCTACTCTATTACCAACGAATAGTGAGATTGACCGTTACATTATAACGCCCCATGGCTGAAAGGGCGAGCATGTTTGACGGGATGGGGATTCGAACCCGCGACTCTCAGTCAAGCGCCCTAACCACGTGGCAATACCGGGTCTGTAGAATGAGAAACGGTTGGGTGGATAATAAATGAAAGTTATCTTTAATTTTTTGTTGTTGTTGTTTGTTTGTTTTAATTGTATATATATATATATGTTGAATATTTAATACTATTGGTTACAAAAGCATATTTATTATGTTCGGAGATTGAACTGAAAAAACTTTTATTCAAGAGTGTTTAGTTTTTTTTGCGATATATTTATTATTATCATTATGTTATTAAATGCAGGTTATAGGAGTAGATGTTGTTTCTCGTTTGACTCTAAACCCAAAGAATACGTATTTACTCAAATTATTTTATTTTTCTTTGAAGAGCTAACTATACTATACAAAAGTCAAACTTAAACATGACCCGAAATAACACGTAAACATTTATCTATTGATATATATATATAACCCGAAATAACACGTAAACATTTATCTGTTGATATATATATATAACCAGAAATAACACGTAAACATTTATCTGTTGATATATATATATAGTACTTCAAGTGGGTTCTTTGTCATCATGAATTTGTCTAAGTTATTTACGCTTTGTTTGTTTGTTTGTTGTTAATTATGCACAAAGCTACACAAGGGCTATCTGTGCTCTGCCCACCACGAGTATCGAAACCCGGTTTCTAGCGTTGTAAGTCCGCAGACATACCGCTGTGCCACTGGGGGGCAGTTATTTACGCAGAATCTGGTGTGTATTCGTGTGCGATTCAGAGCTTAAACATTATTGGTGTGTGATGTTTTTTAAACACAGGCTGGTGTGTGTTAGTGTGTGACTCAGAGGTTAAACATTATCAGTTTGTATTAAGTAATTAGATCCTGTTGTTTATTAAACGTCTCGCACCTGTAGAAGGCTTAGGTAATTGAGCCGAAAGCTTGTGCATTAAAAAAAACTAAAAAAAATTTGGTGATAGTCCAAATAAATTACTTAATACAAATATGAGTACTCACGTTAAAAGCCTGAAAAGTTAAATATTATCTGTGTCTATCTGAAGTTGTTTTTTTAAACACAGGCTGTTAAGCGTTAAAATTCCACGCAGAGGTTAAATTATCAGTGTCTGTCTGATGTTCTTTAAACAAAGTCTGGAATTTGTTTGCGCGTGGCTTAGCTTTTGCTGGGTATTCATTAAGCAACATGATGTCTGTTAAAGTGTGACTCGGAGGTTAAACATACTCGGCTGCTGCTTTCTGTCTGGCGTTTGTTAAGGATCGAATCAGATAAATTAGCATATATTTCTTATTAACACAATCCAACACCTGTTAGCCTGCGCACCACAGATTGAATATTATCAATGTCTGGGATCAGTCTTAGTTGTCTTATTAAAAGACATTCTTATCCTGTATTTCAATTCAGTTAAAAGTTTTGAGTTAGTAACTAGACTGACATCCCCTACACACACACATATACAGAGAGAGTAGTCGCAGTTTTCCTCATCCACGGCATTTAGGAAAATGTGGTTTCTTCTTCATAAACTCCATTTAACGCATGGATAGAGTTAGCATAGCCAGACCACCAAGAAATACTTTAACAATAATACGAAGTGAACTGGTACTATAACAATATGTGTGGATGGCATTTATTGCAAGAATATTGAAATTAACTGTTCCAGTAAAATTAGGATTTTCAACCTGAATGGCACCTTACATGCTAGTGGGCTGAACGGCCAATTAGCAGCACCCGCCACCACGAGGGTTTTGCTTGGCTCTTCTAACTGAATAACGATATTAACAGTCACTATTATAAAGCTGAAAGTGCGAAGCTTGTTCAACAACATCACCCTTCGAACCCCAAATCCAGCCTAACACGTTAACCATTAGCCCACCCCTACCCGTCAGATAAAGTGCCAATTATTAAGTTAACACGCAATAGCTATTAAACAAACTTGGCTAACATGAATATAATTAAGTTAACAAGTCGTTAATATCTGACCACAATGAATATAATTACAGAAGAAAATGTATAATATGAAGAATAAAGGCTGAAATAAAGTGGGTGTTTAAATAATGAGCAATTAATATCAACATAATTTGATAAAGATTGTAACTGTGAATAAATTTAGTTACATTTTCTTTGTGAATAAGTAGATCTATGGTACATTTGAGTAGTTTGTAAAATATCTTAAAAAGTTACTAACTGAACTAAATATTGTCGATTTTAGTCTAAGTGTTGATTAGGTGACACACTCGAAATCACTTAAAGACTATTTATAGAGCGAAATTTTGGACGATATAACTTAAAATACAGACTGAAATAGAATCATAATGTTCGATCTTGATTCCCTCTCCAGCACACAGGATTCACTATAGTTTCATGATCACGAAACGTGCCCACATTTACTGAGCACATAACGATTGGCTATGCTAGTTTTTCTTTTTTTGTCTTATCCATTTAAACCAGGGCCGGAACAGTTTTTCAGAAGAGTAATTCCACCCCCACCCCCTACGGTCATTCTGACACTTCTGCTAGTTATCTCGCATTTGAAAAAAAAACAACAAAAAAAACGATAATTAAATATTTAAAGTATAATTTTTATGGTTTGAAAATTTCAAGAATTAGTTTCTTGAGTTCAAACACCACACCTTAGTTGAATGCCTTTTCATCCTTAATTTGAGAGTCATGGGATGCAAAAAATACTCTTAGAGTCACTTATCAGAATGGGATTCCATGGGTATCGTTTACTTTATTTTGTCTTCCGAGATACCAGTATTTGTTTTTTATTTCTATGTATTCCAGATTTTAAAAAAGTAATCCTATTTGCGAAACAATATTATACACAATGTAAGTTATCAGAAAATAGGATTCCAGCCAGTGATTCTGGGATTCCACACATTGTGTGAAAGTATGATCAACTATTCCTACCCTAATTGAAATATTAACTAAAGTAGATACGGTTAACTGGCACGTTTATTATTATTAATAAATATTAACTAGGTGCGCCATCTTCTGTTGCATGGAACAAATTCACTCTAGCCTTTTCTCCACATTATGAAACCTAACACATTTCATTTCACTGGTACTACTTTACCACAGATTCCAATTGCCAGACACTGTTAGATACAGCGGTCTCCAAGTATTGTTATATAGAACGTAATACTTTTATCTAATGATACGCAACACGATATATTTTCATTGTTATCTATTCACTAACTATGAAAGGCTTATTCCCTTTGTCATCTGCCGAGAACGCTTTCACGCTACTTTTTTTTTTGTAATTCTCAACAATATACATCGTCGCTTTGCAACAAAACTATCACCTGATTCTTAGGCCAACTATGGTGTTTATGTTGAATGCATACTATTCATGTTGATTTGTTAGAAAGGTTTGGTTTTTATTCATTATTTTTTTGATAACTTCGGTGATATAACAACAAAATAGTTTAATTCAGAAGTTTTATGACATTGAGCTGTAGTCAAAAACAAAATAAAATTTACCGGATAGTGTTTCAGCTAAGTCTTATGGTACGTTTATGTATTAGGCCTAATACTTAAATTAAAATATAAATAGGCCTACTATTACTAACGTTATAGAGTCAGTGTTTAAAAAGTTTTAAGTGGTGAATAAATGTTAATTAATAAATATTTTTTTGGGTATTTTAACACATATATTTGGCCTTAAAATATAAAGAAAAATAAACGTTTATTTACTACCAAATATCTTTTGTCCTTTGTATAGTCGAAAAAGTTGAAAATTTGTGTCGGAATATCCGCATTAGGTTTTCTACTTCCTGACCAAGAATACAGTGAAAAGGGCTCAAGAGTGCTACTTAAGTCTCTTTCAGAGTACACACATACTTTGTAGTTATTACTAAAAATGTGGTGATTAAAGAATTACTTCGAGACTGATGAAATAAGTAAAGAGTAGGTGCATTTTGGAGGTACAGACAAATTCGTTTTAGTTAAATTCTATAATTTTTCTTAATCATTCAACGATGGTTTCCCGTCATTTTTGAATGGGTTTTATACTAGTATATTATTCTTTTTTTTCTGTCTGATATGAGACATGGTTATATTTTTTATTGTTATCTGATGTATTTCTTTCTCACAATTACCAAACAATTCAGACTTCTGAAACTGTTATCTCATGTGGTCTATTTTGTTATTCTGATATTAAACATGATTGCATTTTTATTGTGTTTATTTCCATCTGCCTGATATAAAATGTTATTATATTTTAGACCACTTTTACTTATTGTGAACGATTTGTTATCCCTATCATGAACCAATTCTATATTGTTGTCTACCCTCGTGCCACTGTATACTACAGAGATAATAAAAACCATTTGTTATATCATTATCAGCAGCCATTGTATTCCTCATTTGCTATTTGCTAATGCGTTACATACAAGTAATCAACTAGGGCTGGTTTACCTGTAAGTTGTACAAATTATCTTTTTTACTTCTGATGTCATCACATAAAGTGAAAACATTCAACATCGTCATCAATAAACGTAGTTTTGTTATCGAACTGTAGCTGTCAACGATAACGGAACACTTTGTATTACTAGAATTAAATCTGGTTCTTTTCGCTGTTTTGTAATTAGTTATAGGATATTCTATAACCAGGTTACCAGTATAGAATGTTATATTAGTTTTCAATATG